TGACTTGCCCAGGGTCACACAGCTAGTAAATGTCTGAGGCTGGATTTGAACTCAAGGCCTCCTGACTCTAGGGCTGGTGCTTTCTATACCACCGAGCTGTCATGTAATATCCTTCTCTGTATAAATGTTTGTTTTACAGCTTTCTAATGAGCTTCAGTAATCCTATGCGTTCTAAGTAACTGGGTCTTATTCCCTTCTAGTCTGCATGTACCATGTCTTACCTAAATTCCGTGCCTACGCCAGTTCCTAGAATGGGGTTCTGAACATTGGAGACCATTAATAAATGTTTACTGAATTTTAAAAAATTTGGAATTGAACCAAGCATGATAATGACTTGCATCCTCATTTCTGTTTTTCATAATGGGAAATTCTGAATAAAATGAAAACATTCTGGGTGATTTATGCTAAGTGTGTTATGTGCTGGTGTCTCTTAGGAGTGTTCAAAGGGGATATAGCTCTCCAAAGCTCCCCAATTAGCTGCTGTACAAAGCTACTGTTACTCATATTGTTGTCAATTCCCTTTTGAGAGCTGCAAACAAAAATTAGCAAATTCTTTTTTTTCTAATCTTGAAGATTTGTTTTCCCTTTCTATCTCCGAAGGGTCCAAGGGATTGAAATAAATTTCATCTAGCCAAGGAATAAAAAGAAATGTATGAGAAATTGTATGCAGTAATTTACAAGAATATTCTTATGTGAAGGATTGGGATAGGTTTTTGAGGGCGATATCAGACCTTTCTCTGGGGCCTCTTAATACAGGGTGATTTCTTATCGATCTGATATGATGTCAAGTATATTTTTGTCCATTAAAAGTGGTTTCTTCTCACTGGGCTGATGAAGCAATCTCTGAACCTTCCCACTGGCCTTATGGGTCAATGGGTCTATGAACTGTCCTCCATCTCTTTAAATGAGTTTACATCATCCCATATCTTTAAAAGCAACAGAAATGGAGTCTTGAGAAATGAATATAAATACGCGAGGGAAAAAATAATGGATTAGTTTCAACCTGTTATCCCCCCCCGACATAAAAATATCAGTTGTGTCATTACCTCCAATATTTGTATTTCTCTAATTTGGGGACATGTTTTCCCCCAAGAGAGAGCAGATAGCCCCTATGGAATGACATCAGTATTACTTGAATAACAATACATAATTCATCTCTCATTTGCTGAACTGTGTCAGTAAAGACTTACTGCTCTCAACAAGAGACTAGGTTTAGATCAGCAAGTTTCTTCCTTTGGCATGTAAAAAACAATCAATATTCTGAAGATGCTGAAGAGGCCAAGAGGCTAATGGGGAGTGGCTTAGGCAGAAATCACCACAAAGTCCAAGTAGCAACATGTATCATGCCGTTGGACGTGAAGTGCACATGTTAAAAGGGCTGATTTTTCTCCTCTTTTAGGTGACCTTGAAGGGAAAGTGAAATGGCTTGACAATTTCCAAAAGTTTCGGCACCTCCAGGAGATCATAGTGTGGCCTCCACTTTGGGATCGAGATAAAAGGTTCTTCATACCAGAGGTATGCCCACTAGGACTGACATTCCTTCCCCTGTGGGTTTGTCTTTCTAGGGGAAAATTCTCCTTTAGTTTCCTTGCTACCGAGGAGTGAAACAGACTGGATTGTACCCAGGAATTTCTAGACCCTGGGCAAGCACCTCAAACCACGTCTAAGGCAAGTTACATGAAAGAGGACCTCATCAGGTGGTGTAGGACATCACATTATTCTAGGAAGACAGGGATTGGGAAGCAGTGTGGTATAGTGAAAAGATAACTGTTCTGGAGGTAGAGGACCTGAAATCAAATCCTACTTCTGGATCTTAATACCTGAGTGACCACAAGCAAATCTTTAACCTCCCTAGGTTTCAGTTTCCTCAGCTGTAAAATTAGAGTATTGGATTATATCAAAGGTTCATAATCTGAGGTCCACAAGCTTGTATGTTTTTTTCTAAAATAATCTGATAAATATATTTCAGTATAATTTGTTTCCTTTTTAATTCTATTCATTTTGTTTTATGAATTAAAAAACATAATTCTGAGAAGGGGTCCATAGGCTTCACCCGACCATGACCAAAGTATACACGGAACACTAAGAATGCCTGGGCTAGATGGTTTCTGGAGACCCTTCTCACTCTAGTTCTATAGGTCCTATGTCCTCCTGGGACACTGGCATGATGCCACTGCTAGGGACCTTGCCACAGAGGGTGGAATGGGGGAGGATCCCTCTCCAGCAAACCAAAGGACTCCAGCACCCTGGAAATATGGCATCCTGGAATAAAGCTCCAGGTGCTCTGTCCTAGTTACAGTTCTGCAGGTGAGAATTCTGGGCCAGAAGTATGACTTCCATCTAAGGGTTATCTTATATGGGGAAGGCAGATAGCTTATAGGATTTGTTGAACGTATGTTTCTTTCTGGAGTTATCAAACCGTTGGCTAACAGTCCCCAAGAGATGACATGTGTAAAGTATTTAGCATAGTGTCTGGTATATAGTAGGCACTTAATAAATTCTTTTTTCCCTTCCCCCTCACCCCTTCCAGAGTATCCCACGGTGCATGGCTTGGTATCGCCCTAGCTTAAGTTTATGTGGTTGGGATGTTCCTCTTCTACAGGCTTTATATGAGTCTCTCTCTTGTTTTTGAAGTACCTGAAACACATTTTTAAGGAACACATGACAGAAAACATCTTGTCACCAGCCAACAGAAACCTCCTTCATGAGGGAAAATTGACTCTAGCAGGTAATGAACTGTTTTTCTTAAATTACCAACACTTTCTTTTTTGGGGCTGGTAAGAAAATCTGGCTTCTTGGTTTGGGGGAGAAGAGGAATAGAGCCGGGGGGCATCCAGGTAGCACAGTAGATAGAGCACTGGGCCTGGAATCAGGAAGACCTGAATTCATATCTGAACTCAGACACTCAGTAGCTGTGTGATTCTACAACAGCCCTGGGAGCTAGTCAAATCAAGTGAAGCAAGCCAACTTTTGAGAAGGTATGTGGCACAGTGGATAGAGTGCCGAGCCTGAAGTCAAGAAGACTCATCTTCACGAGTTCAAATCCAGCTTCTGATACTTACTAGTTGTGTGACCCTGGGCAAGTCACTTAACCCTGCTTGCCTCAGTTTCCTCATCTGTAAAATGAGCTGGACAAGGAAATGACAAACCACTCCAGGATCTTTGCCAAGAAAACCCCAAATAGGGTCACAAAGAGTCGGACATAACTGAAATGACTAAACAAGAAGAAATAGAATCTGCCTGTCTGTCTCACTGTGATGCTGGATAATCAATCCACTGAACCTAGATTCAGAAAGACCTAAGTTGAAATCTCACCCCCAACATTTACTAGTTGTCTTACCCTAGAGAGTCACTTTGCCTCAGTTTCCCCATCTGTATAATGAAAGGGGAGGTAGACTAGATGGTCGCTAATGTTCCTGGTAGCTCTCAATCTGACCTGATGAATCAAAGTCCAGCACTTTGTGGGACTCTGAGAGTTCAAATCTCATCTTAGATACTTACTAGCTGTGTGACCCTGGACAAGTCACCTAACTTTTCTGTGCCTCTGTTTTTCACCTGTGAAATGTGAGGATTGATTCCCTCCTAGCTCTAAATCTATGACCCAGTGATCTTATTCCAATGTTGTGTCGGTGCTATGGAATATTTCCTATTCAGACACCACTTTCACTTCTTAGATTATATAAATGGGAATGGGAAAGATTCACTGCATATTTTATGGCGCTGAGGATCCCAATTCAGAGCTGGAAGGTGAATCCTCTCATTAAACAGATGAGAAAACTGTGACCCAGAAAGAAGTAGCTTGCCCAAGCCCACATTTGTTTTTCCAAAGACCCCAGAGTGGTCTGCCATTTTTTTTCTCCAGCTTATCATATAGATGAGAAAATTGAGGCAAACAGGGTTAAATGACTTGCCCAGGGTCACACAGCTAGGGAGTGCCTGAAGCTAGATTTGAACTCAGGACTTCCTGACTCCAGGCCCAGCTGCCCCCCAAGGGCCACATAGGCAGTAAGTAACAAAGTCAAGATTTGAACCTAGGTCTTTCTGACTCCTAAAACAAAACTTTCTTCACTATATCATTCTGCCTTTAGAAAAAATTACTTGACCTCTTTAATTGGCCTTGTTTCCTTTAATTATAAGCCTTCTATTTTCCTTGGATATTCGATAATAGAAGGAAATGAAAGAAAAAGGAAAAAAAATAGCTACTGCATTAACAGCTATATCTTAGTTCACTGTTCTTGCAGTGAGGGCAGGAGAGAAATAGGGACCTAAAGATGCCCTTTGGAACCTGGAATAGCCTGGTGTTAAATCCTGAGTTGAACCTCCTGCTGGAGTCCTTGAGTCAGGACCGAGACCCCAGCAGAATCTGAAGAGCCAAGGGAGGCCACGACCACTGTGGACCACAGGAGGGCATTGGCCCTTGCTGTTCAGAACTCTTAAGAATAGAGCTATAGCAAGAGAAAGTGCTGAGAGTGAAAGAATCCAAGTCAAAGGAAATAACACCCAATAAAAGTCTGGGAGGGCTCATGGCTGATTTTCTGGTTTGTGCTGATTCAGACCTTTGGTGGCAAAGAGTGCGACCATCTCATCCCTAGGTTTAATAAAAGAATTGAAAGGGCAGGAGTTTTAACAGGCTGAAACAAGCAAAATGAATCTTCAAAGATTTCTTCTCTAAATGTAGTACGTGATAATGGATAGGGATGACCTCAAGGGTTAGAAAGACCTGGGTTCAAGTCCAGACTCTGACACAGACTGACTATGTGTGATCCCAGACAAGTCACTCTAAGGCATCTCTCTCAGATTCTTAAATTACAGAAAAAGGATGACTTGGAATTTTACTCAGACAATGAAATCACAGGCTCAGGTTGCATCCTTCCCCTCCCCCAATTTATTTAATCCTTTCTGGCCTGACTACCTGACTACCAATCACCCCCACCTTCCCCCCAAAACATGCCTGACTTGGGAATCCTCTGGTCTTCTCTTTGTTTCTTGGAGACATCTATCATTTCTTGAAATGTTAAAAAACAAAACAAAACAAAACACCAAACCCAGGTTCACTTTTTATTTAAACACTGCACTTTCTTGCTATCATTTGTATTTAGTTAATCTTATTTTAACAACAACAAAGTAAACAAACAAACAAAAATGTTCCCCTGTAAAGGCCTCATAGAATAGAAGGGAAGGAGCCAGCCTCAGAGCCAAAAAGACTTGATTTCACATCAAGCCTCTCACACATTCTGGTTGTGGGACTCAGGACAAGTCATTTAACCCCTCAGTGATCTGATCTAAGGGATTCCCTTTTCTTTTTCTCTTCTTATTGCTATAGCTAACAATTCTATTACGATATTAAACAACAGAGGTGAAAATGGCCATTCTTGCTTTACCCTAATTATACTGGGAAAGCTTCTAGCTTATCCCAATTACAGATTACTCTTGCTAATGGTTTTAAATAAATATTACTTATCATTTTAAGGTAAGCGCCATTCATTCCTATATTCTCTAATGTTTTTAATAGGAATGGGTGCTGTATTTTGTCAAAGGTTTTTTCTGCATCTATTGAGATAATTATATGATTTCTGTTGGTTTTGTTATTGATATGGTCAATCATGCTGATAGCTTTCCTAATATTGAACCAACCCTGCATTTCTGGTATAAATCCCACTTACTCATAGTGTAGGATGTTTGGGTTATATTGCTGTAATCTCTTTGCTTGTATTTTATCAAAAATTTTGCATCAATATTCATTGGAGAAATTGGTCTATAATTATCTTTCTCTGTTTTGGCTCTTCCTGGTTTAAGTATCAGCATCATTTTTGTGTCATAAAAGGAATTTGGTAGGACACCACCTATTTTTCCAAATAGTTTATGTATGGGGACAGCTAAGTGGCGCAGTGGACACAGTACTGGCTCTGGAGTCAGGAGGACCTGAGTTTAAATCCAGCCTCAGACACTTGACACTAGCTGTGTGACACTAGGCAAGTCATTTAACCCCGATTGCCTTACCAAAAAGCAAAAAAAAAAAAAAAAATGGTTTATATAGTATTGGAATTAATTGTTCTTCAAACGTTTGGTAGAATTCACTTGTGAATCCATCTGGTCCTGGGGATTTTTTCTTAGGGAGTTCATTGATGGCATGCTCAATTTCATTTTCTAAGATCGGGTTATTTAAGTATTTTATTTCCTCTTCTGTTAATCTGGGTAATTTATATTTTTGTAGATATTCATCCATTCATTTAGATTGTCAAATTTATTGGCATATAATTGGGCAAAATAGCTCCTAACAATCGTTTTAATTTCCTCTTCATTTGTGGTGAATGTACCCCTTCCATTTGTGATACTAGTAATTTGGTTTTCTTTTTTCCTTTTTTTAATCAAATTAATCAATGGTTCGTCTATTTTATTGGTTTTTTTTTTCACAAAATCAGTTTCTAGTTTTATTTTTTAGTTCAATGGTTTTCTTACTTTCAATTTTACTAATCTTTTCTTTGATTTTCAGGATATCCAATTTGATGTTTAGTTGGGGATTTTGGGTTCTTTTCTAGTTTTTTTAGTTGCCCGTCCATTTCATTGATCTGCTTTTTCTCTATTTTATTGATGTAAGCAATTAGAGATATAAATTTTCCCCTAAGTATTGCTTTGGCTGCATCCCATAAATTTTGGTAAGTTGTCTCATTGTCATTTTCTTTAATGAAATTATAAATTATTTATATGACTTGTTCTTTGACCACTTATTTTTTAGGATTAGATTATTTAATTTCCAATTAATTTTTAATCTCTCTTTCCATTGTCCATTATTGCATTGCATTATGATCTGAAAAGGACGCATTTATTATTTCTGCTTTTCTGCATTTGGTTGTGAGGGTTTCATGTCCTAATATAATATATGGCCAATTTTTGTGTAGGTGCCATGTACTACTGTGAAAAGGGTATATTGCCTTCTATTCCCATTCAGTTTTCTCCAGAGAGCTATCATATCTAACTTCTCCAGAATTTTATTCATCTCCTTTACTTTTTCTTATTTATTTTTTGGTTAGATTCATCTAGTTCTGAGAGGAGAAACTTGAGGTCCCTCATTAGTATAGTTTTATTATCTCCTATAATTCATTCAATTTCTTCAAAAATTTAGATGCTATATCATTGGGTGCATGGATGTTTAGTATTGATATGACTTCATTACTATGGTACCTTTCAGCAAGATATAGTTTCTTTCTTTATCCCTTTTATTTGGATCTATTTTTGCTTTTGCTTTGTCTGAGATCATGATTGCTATCCCAGCTTTCTTTGCTTCAACTGAAGCATAACAGATTCTGCTTCAGCCCCTTACTTTTACTCTGTGTATATCTCTTTGTTTCATACATGTTTCTTATAAACAACATATTGTAGGATTCTGGTTTTTAATCCATTCTGCTATCTGCTTCTGTTTTATTTATCCCATTTACACTTAGAGTTATGATAGCTAATTGTGTATTTCCCTCCATGCTATTTTTCACTTGTTTATCTCCCTTTCTCTCTCTTACCCCCTCCCACTTTCCTTCCTCATAAATGTTTTACTTCTGATCACCACCTTCCCCAATCTATCCTCCTTTTTATCAGTCCCCTCTCCTTCTTCTTTTATCCCCATCCCTTTTGACTGTCTTATAGGGTAAGATAGATTTCTATATCCAACTGAGTGTGTGTGATAGTCCCTCTTTGAGCCAATTTTGATGAGAGTAAGATTTAAGTTTTGTATGCCACACACACCCTCATCTTCCCCTCCATCACAACAACTCTTTCATGCCTCTCTTCTGTAGGGTAATTTACCCCTATTCAATCTCCGCCCCCCCTTCTTCTATTGCAATTCTCTTTCTCACCCCCTTTATTTTGATTTTTGGGGTGTCATCACCTTAAAGTTACCCTATATTCACACCCTCTGTCTACATATACTCCTAATTGCTCTTACAGTAATAAAGTTGTTAAGAGTTACAAATATTATCTTACCATGTAGAAATATAAACAGTTTAACCTTACTGAATTTCTTATGTTTTCTCTTTCTTGTTTCTTTTTTACCTTTTTATGTTTCCCTTGAGTCTTGCATTTGGAGGTCAAATTTTTTATTCAGCTCTGGTCTTTTAATAAGAAATGCTTGAGGGACAGTGAGGTGGTGCAGTGGTTAGAGCACTGGCTCTGGAGTCAGGAGGACCTGAGTTCAAACCCGGCCTCAGACCAAACACTTAACACTTACTAGCTGTGTGACCCTGGGCAAGTCACTTAATCCCAATTGCCCAAAAAGAAAAAAGAAAAGAAAAGAAATGCTTGAAAGTCTTCTATTTCATTAAATATCCATTTTTCCCCTGAATGATTATATTCATTTTTGCTGGGCAGGTGATTCTTGCTTGTAATTCTAACTCCTTTGACTTCCAGTGTATCATATTCCAAGCTTTAATGATGAAGCTGCCCAATCCTGTGCTATACTAACTGTACCTCTATGAAATTTGAGTTGTTTCTTTTTGGCTGCTTGCAATACTTTTTCCTTGATCTCTGAGCTCTGGATTTTGGCTATGATGTTCCTGGGAGTTTTCATTTTAGGACCTCTTTCAGGTGGTGATTGGTGGATTCTTTTAATTTCTATTTTGCCCTCTGGTTCAAATATATCAGGGCAGTTTTCTTTGATTCTCTGGAAGGATGTTGTCCAGGCCTTTTTTTTTTCTCATGGCTTTCAGGTAGTCCAATAATTCTTATATTATCTCTCCTGGATCTATTTTCTAGGTCAGTTGTTTTTCCAATGAAAATTTCGTATTTTCTTTCTTTTTTATTTTTTTTTTACTTTTTTAATTTTGTTTCATCATATCTTAATGTTTCAAAGTCATTAGTATCCACTTTTTCAATTCTAATTTTTAAGGAATTCTTTTCTTTTTTTTTTGCCAAGTCTTTTTTTTCTTTTTTTTTTTAAGCTTTTACTTACTATTTTATTTTTCCCCAGTTACATGTAAAAACAATTTCTAACATTCATTCTTAAAACTTTGAGTTCCAAATTCTGTCTCTAAGAAATTATTTTCTTCAGTGAGCTTTTGTACTTCTTTTTCCATTTGGCCAATTCTATTTTTTAGGGAGTTATATTCCTCAGTAAATTTTTGTATATCTTTTCTCATGCTATTGGCTCTTTTTTCAATATTCTCTTGCATTACTCTCATTTCTTTCCCCAATTTTTCTTCTACTTCTCTAATTTGCTTTTTAAAATCCTGTTTAAGCTCTCCCAGGGATTCTTTTTGGGCCCAAAACCAAATTACATTTTTCTTTGACACTTCACTTGTAGCTATTTCAACACTATTGTCTTCTTCTAAGTTTATGCCTTGAGCCTCTCTGTCACCACAGTAACTTTCTATAGTCAAGCTCTATTTTTGTTTTGTTTTGTTTTGTTTTTTTGTTGGTGACTTGATGTTTTTATGTGAGAGTTGGGTTCTGGTCCTGCACTGTTCCAAGCTTTTTGTGGTGGGGCTCTGGCTCTTACTGCTGGCTTTCACTGGACTTCAGGGATCAGCTGCTTACTTTCTCTGGAGGGTAGGCTTCCCTTCTGGCTCATTCTGAGGGGTGGAGCCTCCCTGTTGGTCTCCCTGGGGTGGCCAACAGTTAGCACTGGTCTGCGCCAGAGGTAGGGCATCACTAATTTTCAGCAATGGGGTCAAAGCCTTGCTTGTGCCTGTGCTGGGGTGGGGGTCCCTGGAGTGGGGCCTTGCTGGGCTGTGCTGACTACTCACTTGCCTAGGATGCTGCTGGCTTGTAGGAGGATGGAGCCTTGCTGGTGGATTGTCCCAGGCTTGGAACCTTGCTGAGGGCCCCCTACTGTGAGGCTGGCTGCTGCTGCTGCTGCTACTGCTTTTAGACCGCAGTGAGACAGACTTTCCCCGCTGGGCTGGTCAGCTGCTGCCCTGCTCCTAGACCAGTTCTGAGGAGGTTTTCTAGCTATCTGGAGGGAAACCGGGGAGGGCTTCAGAGGGTTTCTTCCTCACTCTGCCATCTTGGCACCGGAAGTCCATAGAACCTTAGAACCATAAATTCTGAGCTGGAAAGGACTCTAGAGGTTATCTCATCCAACCCTTCACCTGACAGACTGAAATATTGAGGCCTAGAGAGTTTAAACACTTTTTCAAGACACACAGGCAGTATGAAGCCAATGCAGGATTTGAACCCAGGACCTCTGGATCCAAATTCAGTGTTCTTTTCTACTCCATCACACCACCTCCTTTTTTTTAGAGACAAGATAGATGACTAATTTCCCTTCCCTGGCTAAACACAGTGACCACATCATCTGTTGCAAATATAAAATGCAAACAGCACAGAAATTTGAGCAGCTGGAGGTTCTCACCACAAAATATTGTGTCTTCCATGATGCTGAGAATGCAGACCTTTTTCCAGATGGCCACACTGTGGATCCTGCCAGAGGGATTTTGCTTCAGGGGTTTTCTGAGACTGAGACTCTGCTGTCCAATATTATTTATAAAAATAAAATTATGGATATCTTTTATTTTTCATCATCATCATAAGAGCTAACATTTATATCTTACCATGTGCTGGGTGCTTTACAATTATTAGCTCATTTGATCCTTAAAACAATTCTGGCAGGTAGGGGCTATGATTATACCCATTTTGGTGTTGTTATTTAGTCATTTCAGTCATGTCTGATTCTTCATGGCCCCTTTTGGGGTTTTCTTGGCAAAGATCCTGGAGTTGTTTGCCATTTTACAGATGAGGAAACTGAGGCAAACAGGGTGAAGTGACTTCCCAAGGTCACACCTTGGTCATGATTCCATTTGGGGTTTTCTTGGCAAAGATCCTGGAATGGTTTGCCAGTTCCTTCTCCAGATCATTTTACAGATGAGGAAACTGAGGCAAACAGGGTTAAATGACTTACCCAGGGTCACACAGTTATTTAGTGTCTGAGGCCAGATTTGAACTCAGCTCTTCCTGACTTTAGGCCCAGTGCTCAATATATCTACTGAGTCACCTAGTTGCCCTCAGGGGACATCAGCAGAATCTCTCCTGGTATCCCTCTCCTGGCCACCCCATGTAACAAAGAATATTTTTAAATCGTTCTGTAAATTTTCAAGTAACAAGCTTCTTTGCATCCATCATATTTGTCTTTTCAGATTGTACAGTAATATTCCATTATTCATGTGCCACCGCTTTAGGAGAGGGAGACACAGACAGACACTGACTTTTTATCAATGGCTTCCCTAGGATACAAGCCTATTAGTGGAATCTCTGGGTCAAAGGGCATGGACACTATAGTCACTATATTTGCATAATTCCAACTTGCTTTCCAAAATGGTTGTAATATTGTGCAGCTGCACCAACAATGCACTAGTGTGTCTGTCTTCTCGCAATCCCTCTAATACTGACTATTCTCTTGTCATCTTTGTCAATTTGCTGGGTGTGAACAAAGTAAAACCTCAGGGTTGTTTTGATTTACATTTCTCTTATTATTAATGATTTGGAACATTCTTTCATAAAGTTGTTAATAGTTTGTGATTTTTCTTTTGAGAAGTGCTTGTTCATACCTTTTGACCATTTATCTACTGGCAAATGGTTAATTAATATCTGGTAGTTATCTATATATCCTGGATACTAAACCTTTAGCCGAGAAATCTCATACAAAGACTTTTCCCCATTTGTTTCCTTTCTTAACCAAGATCTATTCATTTTGTTCATGCAAAAGTTTTATAGTTTCATGTAATTATAGTTATCTATTTTACTTTTTGTAATTTGTAATTGTCTTTATTCCTGGTTTGGTTAAGTCAATTGCCCGTTCTGATGGATTTTGCTTATATGGTGCTATTCCTTACTTGCTGATTCAAAACCACCAGAAATGTGATCTTGGAATTCAATGAAATACACCCTCACTATTATAATAACCAAAATCATAGGTAGAGTGTCTTTCAAGTTGGGAACCAATATGCAGAGAAGACCAGTGCTAGTGCCCCAGAGTACAGATCAAATCTCTCTAGAAGTAAATAAATGTTGTGCCATGTCTGAAAAACAGAATTAAGCTCTAACACAGGCATCGTGTTGCACAGATGAATGAGATCATTAAACTGTCAACCTGAGACTCTCCATTGCACATATCCTGCTTTGTAAGCTAAAGGACACACACATATAAGAAGAATCTATGTTAGGGATTTCTAGTGTGGGAACTCTTTCCATCAGCACAGATAGCAACTCCTCAGTGATTCAGTAGATAAATCCCAAGGTCATCGAGGTCAAGTGACTTGCCCAAGGTAACAAAGCTAGTAAGTGGCAAAGGTGAGATTTGAACCCAGGTCTTCAAGTGTGGAAACTGGACCTCTGCGAAGCTGAGTGACTTGTCCAAAGGAAAACAAGGAGTAAGAGGCAGAATCCTAGATCCTTTTCCTCCAAATCTAATATTCCATCCACCGTGACACACTCCCTCTACCATCTAGGACATGGGATGGGACAGGATGAGATCTGTGACCAATACAGATAAGCGTCTTCTCTGCAAGTGCTAGTCTCAAAGAGTTACCTACGGGCCCTGAGGAGTTAAGTGACCTGCCCAGTGTTACCCAACCAGTATATGTCTCAGGGGGATAATTTGGGATCAATATACTTTAAATAAAAGCTTACATGCCTGTTTCTTGCCCCACCTCTCCCTTCCCTCTCTTTCCTCAGAAAGCACCAGATTCCTCGACGTCTACTTGTTTCTGTTTGATGACTTCCTATTAATTACAAAAACCAAACACACCAAAAAGGTAATAAGCTATTTCTCATTCTTCTGAATTGTGTTTTTCTTTTTTCTTTTAAATAAGTAGTTGTGGTGGTGATTTTTACACAGACACACAGCCAAAACACAAAAGTCTTCACAGGATCTTAAAGTTGGAGCTGGAAGAGACCTTAGACACCACTGAGTCTTATTACAGATGAGGAAACTGAGGCTGAGGAGAGAGTTAGTTGATTTTTTTTTTTAGCTCGGCAGTAGGGTTAAGTGACTTGCCCAAGGTCACACAACTAGTAAGCGTTATGTGTCTGAGGCTGGATTTGAACTCAGGTCCTCTTGAATCCACGGCTGGTACTCTATCCACTGTGCCACCTAGCTGCCCTTGAGGAGAGATTTAAGGTCTTAAATGCAGCCTTCAGTTCTGTAGCTAGAAATCAACAAAAAGATAGTCAGTTTAACCAAGATTTCCAAACCACCATGATTAATTTGTAGAACACGGTGGTATTCATCACAGAGAAGCACTCAGGGCAAATCCCACTCAGAGTACTTAGGATTCACCACCTGCCCTGGAGTCAGGAGGACCTGAGTTCAAATCCAGCCTCAGACACTTGACGCTTACTAGCAGTATGACCCTGGGCAAGTCATTTAACCCAATTAAAAAAAAAAAGGGCAGCTAGATGGTACAGTGGATAGAGCACTAACCCTAGAGTTAAGAGGACCGGAGCTCAAATATGGCCTCAGACACTTAACACTTAACTAGCTGTGTGACCATGGGCAAGTCACTTATCACCATTGCCTAGCCAAAAAAAATAAAATTAAAATTAAAAAAAAAGAGTACCCTGGGGTATTCTGCAAAGAAGTGATGGAGAAGTAGAGAACAGGTGAAATGGGGTGGGAGTTCACCCAGGGCCACCATCTAGAAGCTTATTTTAACTAATTGTTCTTAGTAATAGGTGCTAAGCTCTATTATTTCTTCTATCAGCACAGATTGTAACTCATCAGTACCTTAGTAGATAAATCCCAAGGAGATGGCTGAGGTTCATCAAGGTTGAGTGACTTGCCCAAGGTAACACAGCTAATAAGCATCTAAGGTGGGATTTGAACTCAGGTCTTCAAGTGTGGAAACTGGACACCTGTTGCCAAAGGACCGTTTTCTGAACTCTGTCCTGGGGCAGAGCCCTGCTCTCCTGAGGGCTCTGCACAAGTGCCGAGGAAGGGAATAAGCATTTATAAAGTGCCTACTGAGTGCCAGGAATCATGCTAGGTGCTTTTCACAATTATATCATTTAAGTCTTACAATAACTCTGCTGGATAGTTGCTATTATTATTATTTTATAGATGAGGAAACTGAGGCAGTCAGTTTAAGTTTAAGTGATTTGCCCAGAGTCACACAGCTAGTAAGTGCCTGAGGACAGATTTCAACTCAGGTCTTCCTGACTCTAGGCCCAGCACTCAAGGCACTGTCACCAGCTGCCTTGAAAGGGGTACCTATTACAGAAAAGGTAATTATTGAGACCCAGGAGGTAAAGGAGCTCTTATGTTGAGGCTGATGCACAATTACAGTTTTTAAACTATATTACCACTCAGCACTGGTTGGCAGGGTTAGGGAGTGAGACTTTCTACACCCAAGGCAGGACAAACGTACTGTAATTAGGGTGGTCTCCTACCCCCTCCAGCTTCCTAAGCCAAAAGCATTCCAGATGGAGGACAGGGTCTTGTTTTCATTCGTCTGTTTCTTGACCTTTCTAGTAGAAAGTAAGACAATTAATATCTGTATCCTGAAGTACCCAGAAACAGCGTCATATATAATTGCTTAATAAATATTTGTTGAATTGAACGGAATGGAATAGATTGAATCGAATTGCTCAAGACTTTCTAATTGGCCTTTTTTCTGGCACCAATTAACTTTGGTTAACAAAGATCTCCTGTACTTGGTTTTCAAGCCCACAATGTATTAGGTTCAGGACTTCAAGAAAAGAGACAGCCACACCCACCTAAAACTCACAGTTTTTGTGGTTGATGTTCTTTAGTTGTATCTGACTATTCATGATGCCATTTTGGGTTTTCTTAGTAGAGATACTAGAGTGGTTTACCATTTCCTTCTCCAGCTCATTTTACAGATGAGGAAACTGAGGCAAACAGGGTGCAGTGATTTGCCCAGGGTCACACAGCTAGTAAGAGTTTATTGAATAACATACCTCAGCTGTGAGGGTTAATCTATTACTATTATCCCAATAATCCCAACCACTGATCCAGTCGCTCCTTTCATCTTTACCTTGCCCACAAAAAACCACCAAGACATTTCTGCTCATCTTTGTGTTAATCACTGCCTTTGGCCCCCTTGAACTGCTAACACTGTTGTTCTAGGGCCATGTCACTTTTCTGTATTCCTCCTTTAATATTGTCCCTTACTTCTGTGTATGTCTTTCAAATATCTAAACACCCTACAAGCTGTTTGCACCCAGCATTTATCTCCCCATTTGCAATGCTGTCTCTTCTGAGACTCTGCTGTTCCATTCAATTACCATTTTAGTATAGACAACCTTCTTGAGTCATCGCCTGTATTTCTACAAGGCTGACTGGTGTCATGGAAAAGCCATTGGACTGGCAGTGAGCGGTGGCCATGTCAAGTGCCTTCTCCCTTATTGGGACTTAGTTTGTTCAACTGTAGAGTGAGAGGGCCCAGTCATATGATGTCTAAATTCCTTTCCACTTCTAAAATTCTATTATTCCGGGGGGCAGCTAGGTAGCACAGTGGATAGAGCACCGGCCCTGAAGTTAGGAGGACCTGAGTTCAAATCTGGCCTCAAACCAAACACTTGACACTTACTAGCTGTGTGACCCTGGGCAAGTCACTTAACCCCAATTGCCTAAAAATAAATAAAATAAAATAAAATAAAATAAAATTCTATTATTCTGTGACTTGAAAAGAACTCTGATCTGACTCTCCTAAACACTGTAGACTTTTAATTGCTACCAATAGGCAAAGGAGGAGTGTCCTGGATCAAATATGGTTTTGATGCTGAAAAAAGAAACTCACAGATATTAGCCAAACATGTTAGTATTCCCTGGAAAACATGCAAATATTTTCCTTCAGTCATTACCTCAAGAAAGGTAGCATGAGATAATGCATAGAGAGCCAGCCTCAAGGCCAGAAAGATCTGGGTTCAAGTCTAGAGTCTTACACATACTGGCTGTGTGTCCTTATGTCTGCCTCAGTTTCCTCCACTATAAAATGGGGATAGTAGGGTTGTACAAAGATCAAATGAAGTAACATTATTAAGAGTTTAACACCATGTTGGCACATAGCAGGCGCTGAGTGCTCATTCCTTTCTTCTGCTACGTCCCCCCAGCCAAGCCAATGAAATCTCTGAAGCAGTCCCGAGCCTGTCGTCACCTCAAACGGGTTGGAAATCAGAAAACCCATAGTTTTATTTGTCCAGCTGTCAGACTGCTGCCTAAAAAAGAAAGACGAGCCTACAGGGATGGATGGAACAGTTAATAGGAGGCAACTAGTTGATGAAACCACAAGGTCCCTTAGGGAGTGAAGTATTTACACAGCTTGACCTTGTTTTCTGACTCCAGTTTCAGGGCACACCAAGAATTTCCTGTCTGATTTCTATCTTCCCATTTAATAAAGCATACCCAGAGCTTAAGCTGGGAGGTGAGAGATGAGAAGGGGGGAGAAGCTCATGATCTCTTAGATAAAGTGTCCTTTTGGAAGGAAAGAGTGGGGATGACGTCAAGGAAGGGAAACTATATCTTTAGGCAAGAAGGTCCCAACCACCTGCCTCCCCTTCCCACTTTGATTAATTGATTCCTTCCATGTACCTGCCATTGCTCTGGGTCCTGGAAATACGGTGACAAAAATGAAAGTTTCCTGCCCTCAAGGAACTTACATTCTGTGTGTGTGGAGGGGGAGCCAACCAGTACAGTAAAGTCCGTAATCTATGCAAAGGAACCTCAGAGTCATTTGGCAGAGAAAGAGGACTAATTATTTCAGACATTAGAAAGGGTTTGGGCAGAAGGTGGAACATGAGTTGAGCACTGAATGGAGCTAGGGGCTCCGAGAGGTGGAGGTGAGGAGATAGAGGTGAGGAGATGGGGAGGTGGAGGTGGGAAGGTAGAAGTGAGAACATCCCAGGCATAGGGAACAGTCTGGTACCAATGAACCAGTTATCTCTATACAAAGGCATAGAGATATAACATCATATATGGGGGATAAAAGGCAAACCCACTTATCTGGAAGTTTGAGGACATGAGAGGGAGAACTTTAACAAGTAAGCTTTAACAAGTAGGTTGAAGGCAGATTGTAAAGGACTCTAAATGCCAACCTATGTCATGCCAATGATGGCCAAAACCAACTGGACCTTGAAAGAAGCACCATGGCCAAAATTTTCATGTCATGGAATCATCCATAAGTCATACCATTATTTTCTAGGCAAATTATTGCTGTTCTCTTGTGCTGTTTTGCATTTCATTTCCATTATGCAAACTAGGATCATTAGCATCTCTTTTAAATTGCCTCATCTCTTATTTTAAAAATGATTGCAACAATTTGCAGACTCTAAGGTCCAGAGTTTATCTGGAGTCTGTGCCATTTGTAGAATCTCTCGTGACTAAATCCCAAAGGTAGCACGACCAGAATCATTCCTTCCCTCTTCATCCTTCCATCTTACTCCAAAAGGGATCAAAATATTGGGATGGGAATCTTCCTCTTCAGTGTAATGGCAATGAAGATCCAGAGACCATGGGTTTCAAAAGACAATTAATGAAGTAACCTTTTTGTAAGCCCTGCTAAATGCCCGTGTACCTGGGACTTTGTTAGGTACCAAAGGCACAAAAGCCAAAAAGCAAACAAAAAAGGAAAACAAAACACAACCATAAAAACAGTCCCTACCTTCAAGGAGCTCACAGTCTAATGGAAGAGATACCATGCAAACAACTCTGTACAAACCAAGATTTTGGCCAGATACACTGGAGATAATCTCAGAGGAAAGGCTTCTTGTAAAGGTGAGATTTTAGCTGGGACTTAAATTATTGGGCAATTATTTATTCTCAGGATCCAGGAGTCATCATAGATACTATTTTGAGATGTCACCTAAAAGGGACTATTTGCACCGTAAAGATATCATGGATTAGGTCACTGTTTGGGTGTGTTATTTTGAATTTATTGAATAATTTCCTTCTTTCGTTTCAGAAACTTGGGTGCTCAGACACAGGTTTAGTCTGCCCTTCCCTTACCCCTGAGCTACAGGCGATGATTAAAGAAGGTGGTTCATGTACAGTACTCGATCAACCCATTCCTTTGGACCGGCTGGTGGTTAAAAATATTGACCCATTCCATGTATCAGGTAGACTCCTCCTGCCTTTGTGGAACTGCTTCTGTTTGTCATTGGTTTTCCATTGGTTAACAGCATATTGACCACACCTAACTATGACAGCTGCCATAATATGAATCATCATATTACTGCATATAATTGGATTACACTCCCCTATAGAAAGAACTGGGCTATCTGACTTTTTTCTTTTAATGCTAATGCAACTGATACATCTTACAAGCCCTACAAGGTAGAGTGGTGGGGTAAGGGGAAGTTCTAGAATCTGCAGGTATGCAGGTGTGGTGAATGGGAAGGAGTGGTGGATTAGGAGTCATTTAATCTGATATTGAATCTGGAATTTGTTGCTTTAGGACTGCAGGATCACTGATTTAGAGCTGAAAGGGACATCAGAAACCATCTTTTATTTTTCAGTTGTGTCCGACTCTCTCTGACCCCATTTAGAGTTTTCCTGGCAAAGATACTGGAGTGGTCTGCCATTTTCTTCTCTAGCTTATTTTTACAGATGAGGAAACAGAGGCAAACAGGGTTAAATGACTTGCCCAGGGTTAATAGTAAGTGTCTGAGGCCAGATTTGAACTCCCAAAGATGAGTCTTAATGACTCAAGGACCAGCCCTCTATGCACTATGGTGCCACCTAGCTGCCCAAAGAGGCCATCTAGTCAAACCCTTCAATTTAGAGATAAAGAAACTGAGGTTCAGAGAGATTAATTAATTGAGTTGGCCGGGGTTAGATAGCTAGTAAGTATCAAAGATGGGGATCTGAACCCAGTTGTTCCAGACTGGACATTCAGCATCGTAGTCACTATGCTACAACACCTAGTTCATTCATTCGTAGGTCTCATTTTTGTCATTTGTCATATGGGGCTAAGCATGAAGAGTAGCATGGTGCTGTGGAAGGAAAGGTGACACAGGAATCAGGAAGACCTAGGTTCAGCACTCTCTTCTGCCTCGTACTGTCTGACCCTGGACAGATCACTTATTTTTAGAATATGATCTCATGTATCTGAACTTATTGAGTCCAGGTAAGTCTGGGCCTGACTATACGTTCTATTGCTATCTACAGTACTCTACCTACAGTACCATAGTATTTTTATTAGTCTAGCTATGGCCAATGAGATTGAACACCAGAGCTGTCCACCAGGTGGTAGAAATTTTGACTATACAAACGCATTAGGACCGCCCATCTGGTAAGGATGGCTCCATTTGTCATCTACATCAATGGTAGGGGTGTCCACACTAAACAAATCACCAATCCTTGATGGTTGAGATCAGGCCCAATCTGGTTAAATAAGCTAGATGAACCAGAGGGGGTGGCTCTGGAGCATTTTCCCTTTTTATGAGAAAAGTTAGACGGGGAAGAAGTGGGGAGATATCTCCTCACTGTATGAGCTGATATACTTGGACCTCTCTAACACAGAGAAAGTTCCAGGATGATACAGGAGTCTCCTTTGAGCACTTGGGAATTCCTTGTTTAAACTAACATCCATAGCAAGATGGTCTCAGGGGTGGGGAACCTGCAGCCTTGAGGCCACATGTGGCCTTCTAGGTCCTCAAGTGCGGCTCTTTGATAGAATCCAAACCTCACAGAACAAATCCTTTTATTTGGGGATTTGCTCTATAAAGGCTGGATTCGGTCAAAGGGCAGGCCACAGGTTCCCCGCTCCCGGTAGATTAAATAGGAGACTTTAAAAAAAAATGAGGACTAGGCAGCTCAGTGGCACAGTGAATAGGGCACTGGCCCAGGAGTCAGGAGGATTTGAATTAAAATCCGGCCTCAGACATTACTAGCTATGTGACCCTGAACAAGTCCCTTAACCCTGATTGCCTCCAAAAAAATGAGGATCAAATCAGTGAAACTGAACCATTACCATTCCCCAGGAGAATGTCCCTCAGCTCTGAGGGTAAGGACTGATTTTTTTGCTTTATATCCCTAGTACCCGTTGACAGAAAGCACTGCAGAGAAGATAGTATCAGCCTCAGGAAATGGCTCAGGGAGATCTGGTTCAAGCCCTGCCTCTTACACATATTTGTGTGATTCTGGGTAAATCGTTTAGCCTGTCAGTGCCCACCCCCCATCCCCACTTCAGCAACTCTGAGACTCTTAAGGTACAGAGCAGGTGCTGATATGTAGCCGTAGAAGATTTCTTTACTCATAAATTCCTACACCAAAGAAATCATAGGTCTGGTCCAATATAAAAGAAACCAGTCATACCAGTCAAACTATCAAAAAATTATTAGATAGAGCTAGAAAAAAAATAACAACAAAATTCATCTGGAAGAGCAAAAGGTCAAGGATATCAAGGGAGTTCATGAAAAAAATATACAAAGGAAGGTGGCCTTGCTGTACCAGATCAAAAACTATATTACAAAGCAGTAATCATCAAAACCATCTGGTACTGGCTAAGAAACAGAGTGGTTCATCAGTGGAATAGGTTAGGTACACAAGACAGCAGTCAATGACCATAGTAACTAGTGTTTGATAAACCCAAAGACCCCTGCCTCTGGGATAAGAACTCACTATTTGACAAAAATTGATGGAAAAACTGGAAAACAATACGGCACCAACTAGGCATAGACCAACATCCCAAAACCAAACAAACCAACCTAGTGCCTCGCAGTCAGCCAACAAACATTTATTAAATATTTACTATATGAAAAAAAGAAAAAATATATTTACTATATGCCAGTCACAACACTAGAAACAAGGGTGTCAAGAAAGGCAAAAAAAGCTATTCCTGCCATCAAGAGCATACTAGTAGATAATCAGTCAACACAGTGATAGTTTAAGAGAATCACCCAGAGTAACATAGCTAAGATGTCAAAACTAGGTCTTTGACACAGGTCTGGATCATGTTTTAGACTCCAAGACTAGTCCTCTATCCAATACACCATATTTCTCTTGCTCATGGTAGATGCAATAAATGTGATGAATTAAATTGGAGGACATTGTATATAAGACGAGGAACCATATACCCTAGTCAGTAATTTACTTAACATTAGTCCAGTTAAGACGTTTGATCCATGTAAAAATAAGATTTTAGAAGATGTGTTCAAAGTCATGAGATACAGTAAAGAAGAAGAGTTCAACCAGACCATCATAAGAACAAAGGTGATTCAATTTCTGGGCCTTGACTTTTAATGGAAATTGGTCATAATTGCTCATATAGAGACAACTGTATACATAGCCCCTTTTGTACCTTATTTATATGCAGGAACCCCTCCTTTTGCCATATTTCCACACATTGGGTGATTTTTTTATTTGAGAAATGACATTTCTTTCTCCTTTGTCTTCTCTCCCCTCCCAAGATGCCTGCTGTTCAGACAGGATACATAATAAAAATGGACCCTTAGGTATATGTGCTTCTCTACTCCATCATTTAGAAAGGCTATTTTGCAAAATACCTTTGCTCCCTGAGAAAGCATTATGTAGCTATGTTGTTCAAAATCTACCATTTACTTCAACTCACAGATGAGACAGCCAATTTCATTTTATAATGGAAATCAATATTCCCACTCAAAGTCAATCCTGCCTCAAAGAAGCCCCATCATCACTAAATTTATTATATTTAGTCAGTAAAAGTAAAGTCGGCGGAGCAGCCCTGCATTAATGATCAACTAAGAAAACCACCAGTCTTCCTTCCAACCCCTCTGACTGCACTCGCACCTCTTGAGAATCCAAAGACTGGGCCTGCTCCCTTAGGTTCTAAAAATAAATGGACTACAAATGATGGATGGGCCGAGAGATTTATATATGTATTTTTCCCCATAGCAATAATTCAAGAGAGGCATTTTAAAGAGCTCCTGCTGTGTAAAAGGAATCTGCTCCCAGAATAGAATCCTGCATGGTCTTTGACATGCCAGCTGGGGAATAAAATGGTCTCCAACACACAGACTCTGCCAGCACTGTTTTGCCTTCTCATATCTAACTTCATTTGTGTGTGTGTGTATGTATGCTTCAGGAGGCAATGGTGTGAACCATATCATCATGCTTTGTTTCGACACCTACTTTTTTCTTAAGAAAGCAGGGGACTGTGATGGGGAGGGAGAACCATCTCCGTTCCTCCATTGATTGTTTCCTGATAGAACGTTATTTTTATCATGGAAACTTAGCCTTAAAATATCTACCTTGTTGGGGGAGCTAGGTGGTGTGGTGGATAGAGCTCTGGCCTTGGAGTCAGGAGGACCTGAGTTCAAATCTGGCCTTAGACACTTGACACTTACTAGCTGTGTGACCATGGGCAAATCACTTAACCATGATTACCTCACCCCAAAAAAATATATATGTGTGTGTGTATGTGTGTGTGTGCATGTATATACCTTGTTCCATGAAGAGTGGGCCATTTCCCATCCTGTGCATGGATAATTGGGAAGCAATATGGTGTAGTGGAAGTAGCACCAATTTTGGAGTCAGAAGACCATCATTTGAACTCTGGTTCTGTTACTCCCTACCTGTGTGACCTTAGTCAAGATACTTAACCTCTCTGAGTCTCAGACTCAACTCCAAAATGAGGCCTTGAGGCCACATGTGGTCCTTTAGGTTCCCAAGTGCGGCCCTTTGACAGAATCCAAAACCTGGATTCCGTTAAAGGGCCGCACTTGGGGACCTAGAGGGCCACATGGATTCATTCAAAGGGATGAGGGCCACATGTGGCCTCAAGGATGTAGGTTCCCTACCTTTGGACTAGAGAGTCTCCCAGGTTCTTTTCAGCTCCAAGTCTGTGACCCCATAAACAACATTTCCTCACGACTCAGACATCATTCACAGTTCTAAGGTGACTTTCTCTATCTGCACCATCTTGAAAACCTTCCATCATCCCCAACTTCCCCCAAACCAACACCCAAAGGAGCAACCAGGAAACTATTCTGATTTTGTTATTGAAAATGAGCTAAAAGTGTTATTGTAAATGTCTCTTTCTAGTCTTTGGGCTAAGAAATGCTTTCCTTCTACAACACGAAAACCGTTATCAACAATGTGTAGCAGCTTTCTTGTTGCAAGCACAAACGGAAACAGCCAAAGTAAGTGCTTCATTTAATTATTATTAATTAACTTAATAATTTAATTATTCACTTAGGTATTGACTTCTGATTTTCAGATTTTCCATTAGTAAAGAATCCACCCAAAACATCTTTATTTTAAAAATTATGAAGAATAAGACAAGCATTTTGGCAAGGGGACAGAAGGGAGCCGGCCCTTTTTTGGTGGGTTCAAATTCTATATTTATACAGATGGACCATAGTGCCCTACCCACTCAAGTCAGTTTCCCATTTTTGTAAAGTCCTACAAATCTGCTCCCTTGGTTTATCTGCTCACCAGTTAGCAAAATTCCATGATCCCAGTAACTGACCCACCTCCAGATAATGCCAAGTGCTGGTTGGGGATTCCAGTTGGAGAGATATAGGTTTAGACATTCAGCTGCGTATGAACTCCTACAATAAACAAAAGAATCCATCATTCATCAAAAATTAATTCCTTGAGATTACTGCTGAGTCCTAGTGCACTCGAGGATTTCTATCTCTATTCTTTTTCCACACCATTCATTTTCCCAGCGCTTAAAAAAATCTTTTATTATTGCTTTCTCCAAGTGATCTGCATTGTTGCATTTTCAGATTTACCTACTTTGCATGAATTTATGTTTACCAAGGGATTCTGTGTTATCACAATGCACCACAAGTAAGAAAACATGAAGTGGACTAAGGGAGAGAGAGCATAGCATAGTGGGTGCACAGCTAGCCTTACTGTCCAGAACTCAGTTCATGTCCCACCTTTGACCCAAAGACTGTGGGACCTTGGATAAGTCACTTAACTCCCCTCCCACTCCCCTTAGTAGCTCTGTTTCAGTGAGAGTGGCCGCATACTGTCCTGCAACAGTATGTACCTAGCATCCTCTACATAGATGGAACCGGGGGTCCAGACTAAAAAAAAAAGTGCTACAGTGTTTAGTGTACATTTGTTTTAAAGAATAAATAGATAGGAAAACATGAATCCAAATAAAAATGTGAGACTGCTAGTTTGACCCTATTAAAAAAAGGATTTGTTATCTTACTTTTAAAAAAAATTCATTTTTTGTTACATTCTAAATTCCAAATTATCTCCTTCCCTCTTTCCCCATCCCTCACTAGAGAAGTCCACCATTTCACACACACACACACACACACACACACACACACACAGACACGTATTTATATATACATATATATGTATGTATGTATGTATGTATGTAAAACCATACTATGCATACTTCCATTTATCAGTTCTTTCTCTGGAGGTGGACAGCATCTTCCTTCATAGGTCCTCTGTAGTTGATTTGAATATTTATAATACTCAGAATAATTTAGTCATTCATATTCTTTAGTCAGTTTTTCTTTTAATTTTAATTTATTAATTTAATATAATAATTAATTAAATAATTTTATTTGGTAAATAAAGAATTTAATTAATGTGATTAAATTATATATAAAATTTATATATAAATGCATTCATACATAAAATTTATATACAAATTAATTTATTAATAATTAAATGATAATTAATCAGGTAAATTAATTTTTATTTAGTCAGTTCTTTTAACAATATTGCTGTTACTGTATATAGCGTTCTCTTGGTTCTGCTCATTTCACTCTTCATTATTTCATGCAAGTCTTTCCATATTTTTCAAAAATCAACCTGCTCATCATTTCTTCTAGCACAGTAGGATTCCATCACAATCATATACCACAACTTGTTCAGCCATTCCCTGGTGGGCATCCCCTCAATTTCTAGTTCTTTACCACCACAAAAAGAGCTGCTATAAATATATAGGTTCTTTTCTTTTTTCCTTAATCTCCTTGAGAATGAGATCTAATAGCAGTATTGCTGGGTCAAGGAGTATATGCAGTTTTATAACTCTTTGGGCATAATTCCAGATTGTTCTTCAAAATGGTTGGATCAGTTCACAATTCCATCAACTGTATTAATGTCCCAATTTTTCCACATTCCCTCCAATATTTGTCATTTTCTCCTCCCTTCTATCTGTGGTCAGGTTCTTCTGCTTAACTCAATTTTATTTTAATTTATTCATTCATTCATTCATTCATTCATTTTATTTATTGTTGCAGCTTCTTTCTTGGTTGTTAACTTTGTGTTAGGGTTGGGCTATGCTCCTGGCATGTGGAGATAATGTCTCAGGCTTCAGGTTTCTCATGCTGTTGTTTTCAGAGCTCTATCTGGGGGCCTTTGACCTTCCAGTGGTCTCTAATCCAAGGCCAGGTGTGGTCACCGCTCCTCCCGGCTCACACCTTGGTCTATGAGTGACGTCAGGTACTCTTCTCTGCCCCCACGCCCAGACCTGGGCCTCCAGCACCACTGGCACCTCACATGCTCTTGTTCCCTTCAGTCCCTCCACTGGCTACAAGCCCCAGCTCACCCCTTTGCCCTGGAACCTACACGTGGGACTGCACTCTCTGTGACCTCACTCACCTGCATATGCTCCCTCCTTCTCGCCCACAGCTGCACCCAGGACCAAGTCTGGTCAGTGTGCCTGGGCCCTGTGTCCAGCACCGGTGGAGCCCCGCCCCCCAATCTTCCCTTAATCTGCCTCTGAGCCCTACACCTTCAGGGGGCAGAAAGTCACCCCGCTACCCCCAGGACTCATTGTTTGTAGAAGCAGCCATATCTGCCTGGAGGTATCTACACTTCAACAGACCACCCCCCAGGGCGGGCAGGACAGATCTTTCCAAATGTCCTCCCAAGTCGTCATAGGCTGGACAACCGTTTTACCCCAACTTTTAATTATTTCTGCTGCTCTAAGATTTTCTTTGAGGCACTATTGTGGGGTCAAGTTGGGAGAGTCACATAGATTTACTCTGCCATCTTCCCAGATTCCTCCTCAATAAAGCAGTTTTTTTTTCACTCTTACAGAAAACATGGATGGCACAAATTCAAATGGCAACCTCTTGCTTCATGAAAAGATATGAGACAAAGAAATCCTCCTTCACTTTGCCTGCAGAATCCTCTGAGATCTAGGGACCAGAATACAATGACTGTATCTGCTATAACTTTTTATCTAGTGATAGAGGCTGCTTCTGTGATTTCACTGGTATAGAATGAGGACACGCCCTCTGCCAACTCAACACCTTCTCTATAAGTTAGAGTCTAAGGGGGCTGCCTAGGGCACTTGAGAGTTTAAATGACTTGGTCAGAATCGGGCAGCCAGTACATGTCACTCTTGGGTTTCCTAGCTTCAAGGTCAACTTCCTACTATTACAGCATGCTTCGTCTAACTTTTTATGTATTTAGGTTTAAATTATCATTTTTATAAAGCTATTATAACTGTCCCCCCATGATCAACTGTGAGGATATAGTGGTACTCTGGAATATGAAGATTTGGCTCAAGAAAGTCACCAGAGCAGAGGTTATAAGGGAGATCCTAGTGAGAAGCATTCTGACTTTCAGAATATCTGGTAATATTTCCAATAGCCTTGAAAGATGTCCAGTTAAGATTAAAAATTGAACAGTGAGACACAAGGAAATAGTGGAAGCACCTCTGTCTCTAAACCAGGGGCTCTTAATTTGAGGTCCATGAACCTTTTTTTAAAAAATATATATATTATATATATGTATGTATATATATATATTTGACAATTATTTCAATATAATTGGTTTCATTTATAATCCTATGTAATTTATGAATTTAAAAACATTATTATGACAAGGGGCCCATAGTCTTAACTAAACTGACAAAGCAATCCATGACACACAAGAAAGGCTAAGAACCCCAGGAGTCCCTAGATCACACTTTGAGAACAGCTGGACAGTGGAAAAAGGCCTAGAGTTAGGAGAGTCCCAGGTTCAAATTCCATTTCTGACAGTGGTTTATTGACTTAAGTCATTTAAAGTCTCTGAGCCTCAGTTTCCTCATCTGTTATTATTTTGACCAGCAGTTTTTAAACTGAGTCATGACTGGAAAAAGTTTAAGAAGCCCAGATTTTGACCACCCTTCTTCTAGCACAATGGATGACTAAGAAAGAAATGCTATTCATGGCCTTGCTCGGCAATTCCCTCAAACATCGGTCGTTTTTATTTTAAATGTGGTGCCTTGGCTGTGAAAAATTAAACAAGGGGGATGGCCCACACTTCCTTACCCAGAATTATATGAATATACAATCCTCATTTCTCAAGAGCTGCTGACATTTATTAATTTGTGTATTTCAGGTTGTTAAAAAAAAATGTTCGCACAATTAAGGTCCAGCGAAAAAGAACCCCGGGCTTGGGAGGGAGAGGACTTGGGTTCTGCTACTTACTATGTGTGACCTTGGGCAAGTCACAATTTCCTAGGCCTCAGTTTCTTCACCTGTAAAATGAGAGGGTGCAAGGTGACCTTTGAAGCCCCTTCTATGACCCCAATGAATGAATCCGAAGACTGAAATTACTTCTCTTGAAAGAAAATTAAGTTTTTCAAGCACAACTTGAATGTTTTCATCCATGTCATCAAACTCTTTCGATCACTTTTGAAGGTCATTCCAGCATATTCCTTTTATTCAACAATGACTCCATTTCACTTTTAATAGAAAAAAAAGCTACTTATTGTTACTTTTTCCATTTATAGGCCATAAAAATTCAATTAGACCAAAGTCAAGAATCAAGAAATATACTTGCACACTACTAACTATAATAATACCTGGCATGAGAAACTGAGGCAAAGGTTAAGGGACCTGCCCAGGGTTACACAGCCAGTTAAGTATTTAGGGTTGAATTTAAACTCGGGTCTTCCTCACTCCAAGTCAAGGACTCTGTTCACTGTGCCACCCAGCTGCCATTATTCGGGGAGGGGGCATAGTATGGCACATTTCATTGGTGTAGGGAATGCCAAGTGAGAAAAATCCCTCTAACAATGCAGACTGGTCTTAATAAAGTTTGAAACATACTGCTATAAAATGAAGACACAAAAATGTTGGAAAATTAAAGATAGGGGCAGCTAGGTGTCACAGCAGATAGAGCACCAGCCCTGGAGTCAGGAGGACCTGAGTTTAAATCCAGTCTCTGACACTTGACACTTACTAGCTGTGTGACCCTAGGCAAGTCACTTAACCCCAATTGCCTGTCCAAAAAAAATGAAAGATACACATCCCTCCCAGAAGATATCAAATGCAATTCCACAAGGGTCTTAATTCGGGACATGGCACTGTCACGGTGAATTTGTTGGGCACATGAAGGTAGTTGGAAAACTAGATAGTAGATGAAGAGCTGAAGATGTGGACAGAGATGGCCATATGGAGTGGTCTATATGAAGTAATTAACTTGGGTTAAAAAAACAAACAGAACAAAAAAACTTCATACATATAAAAATAGGTCCTGGTGGTACCCAGGTTTTTGTTTTTTTTTACCCAATTTGCAGGTTGTTGGTGAATGCTAACTTTATAACTGATGTTAATATAGTGTTTTCAGTTTTGTAAAGCTTTCTACATGCATTATCTCATTTCATTCTCACAACAACACTATGCGGTAGTAAAGATATTATGGTCCTTTTGCAGATGAGGAAACTGAGGCCAGCAAGATTAAGTGGCTGAAGTCAACAGACTAATGTCAGAAATGGGACCCGAACCTGGGTCTAAGTCTAAGTCTCTTTCCACTATACTGGTGAGTCACCAAGTGTCCTCCAGGGACCCCTGAGTCTCTTGTAGGGCTTCAGGGGGCCAAGTCAAAATTGTTTACATAATAAGAAATTTTAATTTCCAATGCAGCAAGTACTGATAGATATAATCCATGTAAACTGAAGCTCTTTGGGGTCCTCGATAATTTTTAGGAGGGTGAAGGAGTCCTAAGTCCCAAAAGTTAAGAGAACCAGTGCACTGTACCACGGTGTCTCATAAGTAAATGTTTGATATAGAATCCTAGATAAAGGAAAGCAAGGTGATGTAAGGGATATACTAGTAATTGAGATACATATCGTGCTTTTAAGTTTGTAAAATACTGGGATGTATATGTGTGTGTATGTATGCGTACATATATATGTACACATACACACACACACACACACATACATCCATCTCATCCCATTTTCTCATTTGTGGCTTACAACAACCAAATGAGGCAATTGAAATGGGAAAACAACATGTAAACGTTGCATTTCAAAGGTGTAGGGCCTTTACAGTTTTCAGTATCTGGACCCATCAACTGAAAACAGGAAAATCTACTCTAGAGAATAGCAATGATTAAAGAAAAAAAGGTGCTAAGTTTATTCAGAATGAAATAAAAAAAATAAAATAAAAGGGGAAAACAACAGTGTTCAAATATGTAGGGATGTTGTGTGGGTGGTAATGGGAGGTTCTTCTGTAGTTAATGACAGACAGAGAATGTAGGAATAAGGTCTGGGCTGTAGAGCTTGGACGCATTGCAATAGAAAGCTTTGCCTCACTGGAGATTGTGAGAGTAAATGTTCTTACTGCTGATAAAACATCTCAAATGTGTCATTTAGGTACAGGCCTACCTAGAGAGAGGGCAACATATCACACAATATCTTAAGGTCTCTTCAAGCCCTATGAGTCTATGAATCATATTTATGTAACATATGAAGGGTTGGTTTTCCCAGTTTCATTCCATCCAAAAAGGGAAAAATATATGTTTTAAAAAAAATCTTTAACTTTTCAGCAACAGGTTGTACACAGAGACTTTTGCAAACTCCAAAATGGCAATTCTAACTTACTTTTAAGGAATACTCTGCAATGTATCAGTAGATAACACCTTGGGGCCCAAAATCAGGAAAATCTTGTGGGAAGCAGCCGTAAGATATTCTTTTTGTGGAAACAGTATCTCAAAGCGTGCTGGACACAGTGAGAAGCAATAGGCACTCAGTTTTGAAATAGAGGTGGGCAAATGGGCCACCTCTTACAAACTTACAGCATGAAGTGAAGGTTTTTCACGGATTTCTTGGCATTTTATACAATGATTCATGGGAGAAAGCAAAGAGCACAAAGCAGAATGGGACAGATGAACTATGCAATGAAGGAAATGAATCATGCCTCTTAAAAGCATGCATTACTGTGTTCCTATTCTATTGGTAAATAAATTAATTAATTAATTCAAAACAAATTCACTACTGTCCCATTTTGTTAACATGGGGAAAGATCGTATGTTATCATAGACCACAACTGCTAGAAAGAGGGTTTTTATTAATATTCTTTTAACAGATTAAAAAACAAATGCAACAATGCAACAAGCCTCCTTTCAATGCTCTTTATACAGAATCAGGTACCACCACCTGGGGTGACTGGTAGGTACAATTAGTATCAATTGCTATCCAATCCTGAGTTCAGGTAATACAGTGCACGCTGAACTAAACTCTTCCACGATATAAGGCACGAGCACATGATCACAAGTAGTAAATACAACACAAATTAAGAAACAAAAAATCAGATAAAAAATTCATGCAAACCCATCTACAGATAATGAATATGATCCAGTTTCCAGAAGTACATGTCATGTACACATAACTGCACTGTGTTACCAGTCTGTATACAGTAAGAACTTAGTTATTTCCAATTCTATTTTATACATGTTTACATAAATTCCATAGGTCTATGCACAATATTCACATCTGCAATGATAATGAAAAATTAGAATCTAGGCAAATGGCAATTAAGACAGCATAATGTGTGGCACACTTTCATTACAAAATACCATTCGTCAAGCTTGTGTCTAGGAATACTAAATTAATGGCACATTTAATCTTGTGGATGATAATTACTTGTGGTTTAATAACCAAAGTGCATATAAAATTCGCTGTGGTCACAGAGACCACAATTATCAAAGTGTGTGACAATAATCTGCTCTTTACTCAAGAAAAAAAGAAACATATTTATGACAGGTTTAAAGAAACAGAATTAGCTTTACAAATCTCAAAACTGTACAATTTAAAAATAATCACCAAGAATCACCTCTTTCAGGGTAATGGGATACAAACAATTTCGGCAATTACTATGTAACACTACTGTGAGGAAGCCCTACTCAAAATTAGCTCAATTCCACACTGAGAGGTAGTTGAAACAAAATGCTATTCATATCCTGCATTGAGGTCTTCTGTTTATTTCCCCCCCACCCCATCCCACCCTTTTTTTCCTTACAAAAGAGACAAATCCTGTACAAGCAGCATTTTTAGTCTTCTTTCTACAAAAGTTCTATAGGTACAGTCTGGCATACACTAGACCAGCAAGGCCTGCCTTTTTTTCTTTTCTTTTTTTTTTTAAATAGCTCTTCTATGTCTGGATTTGAAGTTTTCCAGCCTGCTTTGCATTACTGCCAAATCACAGATCTGGACCTGCCAGCTGTAACTCACAGACACAAGAATGGAGCCTAGCAGCCACATTTGAAATATGCAGCCTAGGAACATATTTTCATCTTTTTCAAGGGGAAAATTTCCTTTTGTTTTCAAAACATCTTAGGTTCATGAATTAAGAACAGAAAGCTATGTGGCAGTGACAACAACATCAGCAGCACTAGCTCGGAGAATGGAAACGAGAAAAGCAGTCAGATTATTAAACACTTTTGTAAAAGCATTTCTGCAATAGTCTCCATGTTATTTTTCTTGTGAAAGAGGGAAGAGGCATTCAGTGCATCCCATAGCAAGGAAGGAAGGGAACCAAGAATTTAAGCCTGAGGAATTTTCATGGTATTTATTGTTCTAAAAACTATGCCAACGGTGATACTGAGCGTTTCTGTTTGCCTTAAACACTATAAACCAACGTCACTGTGTGTATTGGTTATAGATATCAAAGGTAAAAATACCTGGGAGATTTTCAAAACAAAAAAGGTCTATTTTAATTTTAACTATTCAGAGTAAATAGTTCTCTAGTCAGTCTATCTTTCACGCTGAGCAATGCATATATTGTTTTAATGAATCTGGAAATTATGGAATCTTACAGGATCATAGATTTAGAGCTGGAAGGAATCCAGAAGCCACTGAGTCTAAGCCCCTCATTTTATGAGAAACTGCCAAGAGAGGGTGACTTGCCCAGGGTCACACAGCTACTAAGTGTCCGGGGTGAAATCAGAACTCAGGTCTTTATGGTTCCAAGTCCAGTAATTCACCCACTGTGCTCTCATTTTCTTTTCGAGGAAATGTCAAAAACTGAGGCTAACTTTAACTTACTTGGGAAATTCCATAATTTCCAGATTCATTAAAACAATATAATAAATTAAAGATCCATTTTCAGTCTCCAAAGTATTCACAGACATCCTCTAGGCATGAATTAGTCTTAAAATCTGCAAGACCATCTAGTTCATCCTGTACATTCTCTTGGTAAGGTCACAGAAGCCCAGAGAGGCTAACCAACTTATGTGAGCTCACCCAGTAGACTGTCCAGGGACTGAGCTGAGCTAGAACCCCAGTATCTCAGGCAGCTGAGCATCTTCTCTACTATAACACAAGTGCTTCCTATTTCAGCTCAGGTTACAAATTTTGGGACTTACTGATGCACTTATTTGGGGCAATAATGTCTCTCTCGAAAGTAGCCATAATGCATTATTTTTTTTCAAAGTAAAAAGATTTCTCAGATCAAGTAGAAAACCAAATTCTGGATCAAAATTTGTTGGTATTTTATCACTTTAAAAATGGTCCACTAATTTACATAAAGAAAACATGAAATAATTGAAAATTAAATGCTTCCTTACCACTTAATCAGTGCTGACTTATTTTTCAATAAATAGGCTAACAATATCAATTACTAGTTTTAAGATGCAAAGTTATGAGTCAATTAGACATATACCTAACTCATAGTTTTGGGTGATTATATGAAATAATATATTTTTTAAAAAGTTGAACCATTGAAGAATTGAGAATTTCACATTCCTTAAGGGAAACAATTTGGCTATTCTCAGAAAACTAAATTGAAAATAAACAAAATTTAGTAATATCATATATTCTATTCAGCAATTAGTGACAGATCTTTGTGAGATTCTCATTTAGGGGGAGGGCAGGAGAGAGGAAAAGAAGAGCTAAGAAATAGAAAGAGGAAAAAGAGACAAAAACACGTTTTAGACAAAAGAAATACTCAACCTTTCAAATATTTCCCCAAGGACACGAACTATTACAAAGCACGAGATTGGTTTCACAGAAGTATATGAAATGAATGTAAGAGGAGTGAATCAGGATAAAACAAAAACCAGGCTTGATTTTGTGGCAAAGAGTTTTCTTAACATACAGTGTATTTAAAATACCCAAGCAACATTTTTACAACATCAAAATGGTGCAACTGGGCTATGATGTAAATGATACAAGAGTAAAAGGGGTTTGGCAAATTTTATGGTATTGTGCATGATTTTATAGAGAAGACGTTTAATGCATAGGAACAAGGAGGATGGTAACGTGCAACAAAAACAAACACGTGCTATACTGAATCCTTGTACATTTCTGTAATTTAGCTTTTGGAGAAAGTAGAAAAGAAGCTGTGAGATTACATAAATGTTTGTGAGCAGTGAAATTATGTTTTAAAAAAATACGTTGATATTCTCTGTTCAAAATTTATTTACATTTAACTAGATAATTCTAAACTAGGCATGAAAGCTGTTTTCAGGGTAAGTGGAAAGAAAACAACAGGTGATGAGCCCAAGTCTCACAAAAATAGAAGAGTTTTACTGGATCTTAATAAACATTTCAAAATATACTGATTTTGCCAAGTATTACAACCACTGTCTAAATCAAATAGTAGTCCAAGTACTCTATGAAGTGCATTTATTAAAACTCTAATGTTAGTGTAATCTTGTTTGATGAACATGATAACAGTTATCCTTGTAAGTCATTGAAACACGCATCACAGACACGAACAGGCTTCTTGGAAGAAGGAGTTAAGGCATTTTTGGCTGAACATTCAGCACAAAAGATATTTCCACACTGTCTACAATGATGCTGTGAATGAGAGAAACAAGAGAAATTAAACTTCCAACATAAAACTAGGAAGGCATCAGTAAGGGAGGTACATTCACTTCTAGGTACAAAGGGTGCTGTCACATAGAAAAATTGTTTCTTTCACATCTTCATAAAATGTGAAAGAAGTTTTTGTTTTTCCTTTCTCACACTACACAACTTTATATCTGTTTAATTCAGAATCACATGCTAAACTTTCTTTCTCTCAAATAATGCAACGAACTAAAATATCATTATTCCAGACAGATAGGCAAAGGGATATTGGTTTTTACATTGGAGCACAGGCTCGGGAAATTTTGGGACCAGTGAAATACAATGAAGCAGATAACTGAATCCAGACCTCCAAAATCCTAGCCAAACTCAAGATCACGTGAATGGTAACAGGGAACCAAGTCAAATATGTGCACACCGATTAAAATTTGTAAGTAAGTTTCTGTCAAGGTGTGCTATCCAGATATGGGGCTATTTTATTGATCAAATATTATTATCACTGAGGAGAGGTCTCCAGATACTCATTTATATATGCACAATTCCTTTACATACCCGTCTCACGGTGACCGAAAAGCCTTTTCCACAGGCCATGCAGTTCTGTACCTCATTATCTTCAGCCCATTTTCTATTTAAAGCTTGTGTATGTTTGATCTAAAAAAAAAAAATCATACATAAACATAAACAAAATTATAAACCATTTTAAAGAACAGATTATTCCTAAAAACCTATCTATTGTTTAAAAAAAAAAACACTTGGAGATATACATACGTGTGTGTGTGTGTGTGTGTGTGTGTATACACACACACGAGAGTGTCTTTCTCTTTTTTTTTTTTTTAAAGGCAATTGGGGTTAAGTGACTTGCCCAGGGTCATGCAACTAGTAAGCGTCAAGTGTTTGATCTGAGGCCGGATTTGAACTCAGGTCCTCCTGACTTCAGGGCCAGTGCTCTATCCACTTCACCACCTAGCTGCCCCTGTGTGTGTCTTTCTCAACAAATATCACAAATCACATTCACACATAATAGATTCTCCCTAAAATTGCTCAGTAGCATAGTGGCAACCACTAACTCGTTCATTCATTCATTCTTTCATTCCTTCATTCAAATATTTCTCTACTATGTGCAAGGAGGTGGGGAATATACAAAGATAAATAAGACATGGCCCTTGCCTTTAATGTTCTTCCAACCTAGTGAGAGAGATTTTATATAAATATGTATATATATATGTGTATGTATACACACACACACACACACACACACACATACACACATACAAATACAATGAACAAAAATTAGAATATAATCAAGACTATAAGAAGGATATAAATAACTATGAGATCAGATAAGGGAGTGATTATTTCTGGTTTGGGAAGGAGCAGAAAATCAAGGAGAGCATGATGGAGGAGGTGGCATTTAGGCTAGACCTTGGAGGATGGGTAGGATATCACCGGGCAGGAAACAAGGGAGGGCTGAAAGTCTAGAGGTTAAAATAACCATGACTAGGTCCAGGAGGAGCAAGGCATTGAGAGGTAGGAGGAAAGCAGACGGTGGCCAAAGGAGAGAATTTCAGAGTCTTAAGATCTTGGGGGTACACAGCAAAGTCTGGGGTGTAAATTCTGTGATACAATCAGCACGGAACTAAATTTCAGGTAGCTGGCGGGTTAGGCAGGCTTCTGTAGGCCGCCCTCGGCACTTGGCCACTACATAGAATGCTGGTTTCATGAGAGAATGTGCTCCAAGTTCCACATAAACATTTAGAACACAAGCTGTCTTCCCCTTCA